TTCAAACCTTTTTTTATATTAATTAATAAATATTTTTTTATCTTAATAATGCTTGTCTAATTATATTTTCTTTTATTAAAAAAAACTCATAATAAATAGTTAAATAGATAATTTGTGATATAGTTTTATAGAAACTCTTTTAAAAACTCTTTTTAGATCAATTAATAAATAATTATTTATATAAATAATTCTTGTCTAATTAGATCTCCTTTTATTAAAAAACACTTAATAAATATATAAATAGAAAATTTGAGTTAAAATTTTATAGAAACTTTTTAAATATTATATCTTTGTCTGCTGTGATAGAGTTTTATTGAAAATAAAATTTGTGATTTGTGATAGAGTTTTAAAAAAATTATTTTATTTTCTTTAAGTATATCCTTGTTTAATTAGATTTAATTTTATTAAGAAACTCATAATAAAAGTTAATTTGTGGTAGAATTTTAGAAAAATTGTTTCATTTTATATATCAATTAATAAATATTTTTTATATTAATAATTCTAGTCTAATTAGATTTTCTTTTATTAAAAAATTCATAATAATAAATAGATTAACTTAAATTTTATTAGATAGATTTTAGAAATTGATTGACATTTTTTTTTTATTTTTTGTAAAAACTCTTTGCATATCAATTAATAATTTTTTTTATTTATAAAAATAGATAGTTAAATACTGAAACTCTTTGCACATGTAATACTACTATACATAAAAACTTTTTTATATTAATTAATAAATATTTTTTTATATAAATAAATAAATACTTAAACACCTTGGCACAACTTCTGTATTATACTCAGAAAATTTGGTTTTCTTTTATTAAAAAATTCATAATAATAAATAGGTTAATTTGAATTTTATTAGGTAGATTTTAGAGTTTTATAGAAGTTTTTTTTTCCATAAAAACTCTTTTCATATCAATTAATAAATATTTTTTAAAATAAATAAATAAATACTGAAACTTTAGATTTACTTTTATTAAAAAATTCATAATAATAAATAGATAAATAGGTTAATTTGAATTTTATTAGGTAGATTTTAGAGTTTTATAGAGTTTTTTTTTTCTTTTATTTATTTATTTTTATAAAAACTTTTTTCATATAAATTAATAAATATTTTTTATATAAATAAATAAATACAAAAATACTGAAACTCTTTGCACATTTAATATTTTATTTTCTTTAAATATATCCTTATCTAATTAAATTTAATTTTATTAAGAAACTCATAATAAAAGTTAATTTGTGGTAGAGCTTTAGAAAAATTATATTATTTTATATATTAATTAATAAGTATTTTATATATTAAGAATTCTTGTCTAATTCAATTTTATTTTATTAAAAAATTCATAATAATAAATAGATAAATATGTTAATTTAAATTTTATTAGATCGATTTTGGAGTTTGATAGAGTTTTTTTTTTTTGTTTTAAAAAAATAAATATATACTTTTCATATCAATTAATAAATATATTTTTTTGTAAATAGATACTTAAATACTGAAACTATTTGTATATTTCATAGTAGTATAGATAAAATCTTTTTTTTATATTAATTAATAAATATTTTTTTGTATAATTAAATAAATACTGAAACAGTTTGGTAGAACTTCTGTATTTTACTCTGAAAATTAGATTTTCTTTTATTAAAAAATTGTAATTTGTAATTCGTGTTAGAGTATGATAGAAAATATTTTAAAACTCTTTTTACATGAATTAATAACTATTTTTATATTTCAATAATTCCTATCTAATTAGATTAGCTTTTATGAAAAAAAAAAAAAAAAAAACTCATAATAAAAGGTAATTTGTGGAAGAATTTTTGAAAAATTATTTTATTTTTTATATCAATTAAAAATATTTTTTATATTAATAATTCTTGTCTACTTAGATTTTCTTTTATTAAAAAAATTATAATAAATAAATAGGTAATTTGTGTTAGAGTTTAATATAAACTCTTTTAAAAACTCTTTTTATATCAATTAATAAATATATATTTTTTAATAATTATTATCTAATTACATTTAGTTTCATTAAAAAACTCATAATAAATAGATAAATAGGTAATTTGTGTTAGAGTTTTTGAAAAATTCTTTTAAAACCTTTTTTTGTATCGGTTGATAAATAAATTTTTATATTAATAATACTTGTTTAATTAGGTTTCTTTTTATTAAAAAACTCATAATAAATAGATAAGCAGGTAATTTGTGTTAGAGTTTTATAGAAACTCTGTTCATAGAGTTTTATGGAAAATAAAATAGGTAATTTGTAATAGAGTTTTATAGAAATTATTTTATTTTCTTTAAATATATACTTGTCTAATTAGATTTAATTTTATTAAGAAACTCATAGTAGAGTTATAAAAAAATTATTTTCTTTTATATATCAATTAATAAATATTTTTTATATTAATAATTCTTGTCTAATTAGATTTATTTTATTAAAAATTTGATATTAATAAATAGATAAATAGGTTAATTTAAATTTTATTACGTAGATTTTTGTGTTTTATCATATTATTTAAGAAATATTTTTTTACATAAATAAATAAATACTGAAACTCTTTACAAAACTAATAATAATATAGATAAAAACTCTTTTTATATCAATTAATAAATTTTTTTTATATAAATAAATAAATATTGAAATACTCAAACTCTTTGACAGAGCTTTTGTATTTTACTCTGGAATTCAACTCTTTTTATATCAATTAATAAATATTTTTTTATATAAATAAATAAATACTAAAACTCTTTGGCAGAACTTCTGTATTTTACTCTGAAAATCTAGATTCTAGAATTCTCAATTTCTCTACCTCTTCCCCCTTCCTCCTTCCTCCATGCCTCTATTTATAGGTTTCTTGGATGGATAGGATAACATGTGTCATTGTCTGATAATGACATAATCATAACTGGGCCGGGTCGGTTATATTGTGATAATTATCTATAAAAAATAACTAAAAATAATAGTTTTATATAGAATATGATTGATTTTATTAGGTAATTTTTAGATTTTTATAAAAATTATAATTATCCATAAAAAAAAACTAAAAATAAGAGTTTTATATAAAATGTGATTGGTTTTATTAGGTAAATTAGATTTTCTTTTATTAAAAAACTTTTAGTAAATAAATAAACAGGTAATTTGTGTTAGAGTTTAATATAAACTCTTTTTATATTAATTAATAAATATTTTTTATTTTAATAATTCTTGTCTAATTAGATTTACTTTTAGTACAAAAATTCAAAATAAATAAATAAATAGGTAATTTGTGTTTTAAAAACTCTTTAAAAACCTCATTTTGTATCAGTTAATAAATGATTTTTTATATTAATAATACTTGTCTAATTAGGTTTCCTTTTATTAAAAAACTCATGATGAATTGGTAATTTGTGTAGAATTTTATACCAAATTTAAACACATCTAATAATAATATAAATAAAAACTCTTTTTATATCTCAATTAATAAATATTTTTTTATATAAATAAATAAATACTGAAAACTCTTGACAGAGTTTTTATATTTTACTCTGAAATTCAACTCAATTAATAAATATTTTTTATATAAATAAATAAATACTGAAATACTGAAACTCTTTGGCGAGCTTCTGTATTTTACTCTGGATTTCTAGAATTCTCAATATCTGTACCCCTTCCTCCTTCCTCCATGCCTCTATTTATAGGCTTCTTGGATGAATAGGATGATGACACGTGTCCTTTTCTGATAATGACATAATCATAATTGGGCCGGGCCGGTTATATTGTGATAATTATCTATAAAAAATAAGTAAAAATAAGAGTTTTATATAGGATGTGATTGATTTTATTAGGTAATTTTTAGATTTTATAGAAACTATAATTATCCATAAAAAATAACTAAAAATAAAAGTTTTATATAGAATGTGATAATAAGAGTTTTATATAGAATGTGATTGATTTTGTTAGGTAATTTTTAGAGTTTTATAGAAACTATAATTATCCATAAAAAATAACTAAAAATAAGAGTTTTATATAAAATGTGATTGATTTTATTAGGTAATTTTTAAAGTTTTATAGAAACTATTTCTACAAAAACTATTTTTATGTCAATTAATAAATATTTTTTTATATAAATAAATAAATACTCAAACACTGAAACACTTTGCACATTTAATAATAATATAGATATAGATATATATATATGTTTAAAATAATACTTTTAATTAACCACTCAAATTTTCAAACTTATAACAGTTATTACCAAAATCAACACCATCCCAACTAGTTAGACTGACCAATTTAAATAAAGAATGATTTGGGGCTTGCTCTAAAACAGTTGGGTGTTGATTTCGGGATGGACCTCAAGTCTATATTCACTATTATTTGCCCTCTGTTTTCCATTGGGCTTTTATTCTTGTTAAATGGGTTGGGTTCCTATATTTAGTGTATTTGATTGGGCCAGACTGGCCCAGATACCTACTGTACACATTGAAGATCCAATTTGCGTCAGTTTTCAAAAAATGAAAAAAAAAATTTAAATGAAGATCCAAAAGTGGCTCTTCATACCGATGCTCTAGATTACACAAGAGTAATTATTATAAATGAACAAAAGTTATTTTTATTATTCAAAAAATGTATATAAATAAAAATTCATATTTATGTATAATTAAGTTCAATTTTTTAGGATTTTATATGTTGAGATATTTGACGCATTCATGACCAACATTTTTTAAGAATATTTTAAAAGAAGAGAAAAATGATAATCACTTTTAACTTAATAGTCAAATTGTGTAGCCAATTTTTTTTTCTTTTCAATGTGATTTTTTAAAATTTAATCGATTCTTATTTGTGATGCCATTACTAACAACTTAACACAATTAACAAGTGAAATTCAATAATCTAAGCCGACTAATATGAGCCATACGGCCCAATATGACTGTGTTTGTCACGGTGGCTCGGCCCATATTCAAAATAGGCAGGCCCTTTTGGTAATTCCGCCCTTATATAACTTTACATCTCCTTCATTTGAGAACCCTAGTCGTCGTTGGCCGCAGCAACCAATCTGCACTCCGCTTCCTCTCAAAGGTCAGTTTCTTTTAGGGTTTTGAGCCAAGCTAAGCTAAAAATCACTTCAAATTACAAGCATAACAATATATATATATATATATATATATGTATTATACACACACACACATATATCTGTTTCTAGATATCTGTATATTTAGATCTATAGTTCAAATTGGTTTTTCCCCTCATTATTTAGGAATTCCCAAAGTACAGTAATCATGGTTTAGTGGATTTTCAAGCCTTTTCAATTAAAGGACTAACGAAGTTCATTTTGAATGTGTCTGGTTTAAAATAGGTTTGGCTTGTTTGGGTGATAATCAATGGCTCCTAAAGGTATGTGTGCGGTAACAACTTTTTATTTGTTATGTTATTTTAGTCTATTTGGTACACAGAGATGATATGCATATGTATTTGTGAGCTTTTTATTTGTTGAATATATGCATATGTTTGATTTCATGAGTAGTGGGTGATTTGGTGTTCTTAAGCTTGAATGTAGGTTTATGTTCATTTCTGTGAAATTACGACTTGCTGTTTGTGGCATGCTAAGGATTAAGAAGTGTTAGCTAATGGGTGAATTAATGTGTTTTTCGTTAAATTAGTCTTCAGCCAATAGCGTTCTTAAACTTGAATGTAGGTTTATTTTCATCTCTGTGAAATTGCAACTTATTGTTTGTGGCATGCTAACGAGTAAGTAGTGTTACCTGATGGGTGAATTAATTTGTTTTTCTTTAAATTAGTCGTCTTTGCACCGTAACTATCAGATGTGATTGGATTCAGTACTTTGGTATCTTCTAGCACAGACAATATTATGGAGTTCTTTTCCTCTTTTGGTGTCCCAATTTTCATGCGAGATTTTTTTTTGGCTAGCAAAAATTGTAACCTGAGACCTGTTAGCACTGTTCTTTTGACTTCCCATACAATCACAATGTGGATTGTACAAAGGTATAAGGGAAGCGTTGAACTTCCCTGACAAATTGGTAAACGGTAAACACACACACACAACTAAAAAAAGATATGGTTAGAGAAAGATATTTTCACTTTCATTTAACAAGTTATTTATTTCAATATTTGTTTATTTTCCCATTCTCCCATTTCAGTAATTTAAGTGGTGGTGGTTAAAAAGTAACACCTATATACATATATGCAAACGTCTTGGAATTTGAGAAGTGTGGACACCAATTAACATGCCCATGTAAAATTCAATTGGTGAAAAGAAAGGCTTTCTTAGTGCTAGTTTACCCAACTCAAAAAACTCTAAATCCTTTACATCTAATTGAGATTGTCAAGTTTGTACATGGGATTAGAATATGGGTGGTGGATTTGAATCTCTCTCTCTCTCTCTTCCCGCCGCCGGGGGGGGGGGGAGTGGGGCGACAATAATGCATAAAGAAATTGCATCATCAGTTATCAATTACTTCATTTGAAAAGATATTGGTCTGGCTGAACAATGGTATAGACTTATGGTTCGCCATTATTGGTGCGCCATTTTAATTAGTAGATTGTAGGTTTCTGACTGGTCCTTCCATTTTTTATTGCTTGGGTGGGATATTGAGCGTTGAATATTGAATTGTTTGGTTTTTTGCAAACCTAATTCTTCCCCCCCCCCCCCCCCCCCCCCCCCCCCCCAACCCACAATTTCCCTTTTCTTTTAAACTCAATTTTTCACTAACATGGCATCCTTGTTTTGATCCTGCTGCTTTACCTATTGAACGTTCATATCACTCTTTACAGCTGACGGTACAAAAAAGGCCGATCCAAAGGCACAGGCCGTGAAGGCTGCCAAGGCTGTGAAAGGTGGTTCATCAACCTTCAAGAAGAAAGCTAAGAAGATCAGAACATCGGTTACCTTTCACAGGCCGAGAACACTTAAGAAGGATAGGAACCCCAAGTATCCACGCATCAGTGCTCCTCCAAGAAACAAACTAGACCACTATCAAATACTCAAATATCCACTGACCACTGAGTCTGCAATGAAGAAGATTGAGGATAACAACACCCTGGTTTTCATCGTTGACATCCGTGCTGACAAGAAAAAGATAAAGGATGCAGTGAAGAAGATGTATGACATTCAGACCAAGAAAGTGAACACTTTGATCAGGTAATCATCAGTGATGGACACATTTATTTGTCTTTCTTAGAAATGTTTTACACACTTCACTGCATATTGAGTACAAGGACGTGTTACTAGCTATGTAGCTTTTAGAAAAAGGTTTGATGTCAGTTTAGATTGATTCTGCCACTAAATCTTGGAATTGTTTTTATGGAAAATGACTCTTTTTTTTTCAAATTTCCGTTATGCAATCTAGATAAGCCTTTTACTCAACTTAAATATTGGTTTGGGTATTTTTAGACGGTAGTGTTCGTCAACATATCATTTAAGATTTAGTTTTGCACTTCCCTTTTTTTGTTTGCCAGTGCAATTGTTATATGGGGTTCATCAATTTCAACTTTATGTTTTATTGAGAAATCTAAAAAAAAATATAGTTTCTGAACTGAATAACCCACCTTGTGTTCTTCTGATGTAGGCCTGATGGAACGAAGAAGGCATATGTTCGGTTGACTCCAGACTATGATGCTTTGGATGTGGCCAACAAGATCGGAATCATCTAAAAGTTGATCAAATGATCATTTTACCTTGATCAAAGTTGATTGATTTATCAGTACTATTGAAAGTTTTGCTAGTTATGCTTGCCTTAAATACTGTGACTGTTTTATTCAATTAGTAATTTTGAGTGTATTAGAGTTATTGCTAATTCAACTTTTGGAATGGGAGGAACTTGAGCATTTACCTACACCAATTGTTATAAATGGTCATGATGCATTGCGTTATCTTTTCCCCTTTTGCATATTCCATTTCAATTGTTTCTGTGGTAGTATTTTTTAAGGAAAAAATAATTATTTTTCATAGTTAATCTAGAAAACGATTTGAAACTGCTCTCCTGTGTGTGGTTTTGTGTATGTGATTTTGCTCCGAATCAGAGGTTATAGCCCTAGGCTGAGCAAATTGGTTTTTGTTGGTGATGCAGACTTCTTCAGTCTGAATTTTACTCTAAAGCTTGCTGGATTTTGAAATAGCCTTAGTCTTGTTAGTCTTTTCATTGCTGCAGTGAACTAAGTTACAGCTGATCATCAACATTGAGCATGTGGGAGTTTATCCGGTAGTTGTCCCGTGCAAGTGGGACGGGGTGACCTACTCTGGTGGTGGATTATGGGGTTTCTCTATGAGGTGCGACCTACTCTGGTGGTGGATTATAGTGTTTTTTCTCTAGGAGGTGGGACGGGGTGACTACTCTGGTGGTGGTGGTGGATTGGTTTCTCTAAGAAGTGACCATTGATATTTCGCGGTATTACATAACCAACAGATACAAGCCATTTACATGCATGGTTCACGCGTATTGTGATAGAAGTGGGTCACTTCTTCACAAGATTGCACGCTGCTTACATTATTGGATTGTGATAAAAGTGGGTCATGTTCGCATCCATTGATTTGTGTAACGTATGTTTTTTATGTTGGGACTTCTTATGATTTTTGTTTAAATGATTCAATGTTGGTTAAAATTATCGAAAGAGGATATTAATTAATGACTCGCACCCTATCCTCCGTTGGACCCAAAATCTTGAATTCGACCTTATAATTAATTTTCCTTAATTGAAAAAATATTTCTTCTTCAAAATTTCCATGTTGTTTGTAAGTAGCCTTCAGAGCTGATTATGATTTGATTAAGAAGAAAACACAATTATCTCTCTTGCTTAACAACTCCTAAAAATATCCGCCCGCTACTGAGCAGGAATGGAATGAAATGGACATTCTCATTCTACCGTTTAGTTGTAAATATGAAATGTGTAGTCTTTGGTTGTGAATATGAAATGTGTAGGAATAGAATGATAATAACCATTCTATTGGTTGGACCAATTTAAAATTTAGAATGAAATACATTTCTAATTGAATTATCCAAAATATCCCTCATAGTAACAAATAAATTAAATTAAATTTACAAAATGATATTCTCTAATAATTTTTTTAAAATAATTGGTGGCAGTGGCGGTGGTGGACGGTGGAAAACGTTAGTAGTGTAGGTGGTGGTGTTGGAAGGCGGTGGTGGTGTTGGAAGGCGGCGGTGGTGGCAATGGTAGAAATTGGTGGTAGCAGTGGTGGTGGAAGGTGGCATTGGTGTTGGTGGAAGGCGGTGTCAGTAGTGTGGTGATTGTGGTGGAAGGAGACAGTGGTGTGACTATACTGGTGGTGGAAGGCGGCGGTGGTGGTGATGGAAGGCGGTAGCGGTGGTGGAAGGTGGTGATGGCGGTGGTGGAAGGTGGTGGTGGCGATGGCGGAAGGTAGTGGTGGTGGTGGTGGTGATGATGGAAGGTGGTAGAAGGCGATGGTGGTGGTGGAAGGCGGCGGTGGTGGTGTAGGGCTGTGGCGGTGGCGATGGTGGAAGGTGGTGGTGGTAGTGAAAGGCGGTAACAGTAGTGGTGGTGGATGGTGGTAGCAGTGGTGAAAGGCGATGGCGGCGGTGGTGGTGGTGGAAGGTGGTGGCGGTAGCGGTGGTGAAAGGCGGCGGCGGTGGTTGCGGCAAACGGTGGCTGTAGAGGTGGTAAAAGGAGGTGGCGGCGGTGGTGGTGGAAAATGGTGGGCGATGGTGAAAGTCGGTGGTGATGGAAGGTAATAGTGGTGGTAGTGGCGGAGATAATTGTGGTGGAAGGTAATGATGGTTTTTAGACTTGGCATATGAGGGTGTTTTGAGAAGTCGATTTTTTAAAATAAATTATTTGGGAATGGAATGACCATTCCATAAGTTTAGTTTTGCAATGGATTTTCATTTCCAGTAATAAATTTTCATTCCAATGGAATGACCATTTCCACCTAAAGTTACATACCAAACAAAGAAATGGTTAGAATAGACATTCCACTCTATTCCATTAATGCACACCAAACGTATCATTATTCTTTTGTTTTTCAATTAACCCTTAACTCTTGCCAAAAAAAAAAAAAAAAAAAAATTTTTTTTTTTAATTACCGACTGAAATTGCCTTGAGTAATGTAGTAACATTCCTTCTCTGGAATGCACTCTCTCCACTGATTCAAGTCGCACAAATTCCATTCCATTATGTGTAATATTGCTCTAATTTAACACGAGAAGGGTAACTTTATTTTGAATAATGGAAAGATTACTTTTTGTTGTTGTTGTTTTTTCGTCAAAAAGAGCAGTTGATGAAGCGGAGACGAATGGACAATCCAAGGACTTTCTCCGTCTAAAAGGGGAAATGGCTTAATCCATTTTTGACTTAGCACAAACTTCTTAATACTCTTTTCATTTTGTTTTTTATAATATACAAGGGAGTAGGGCTGTAAATAAATCAAGCTAAATTGAGAGTCTGTTCGGGCTCAGCTCATTCGTTTGTGGGCTCAATTCTGACTTTGGATCGTGACGAACTAGAAAAAATGAGTTCGGAATCGTGACGAGTTGGAAAAAATGGGTTTGGGCTTGATTTGAGATTAATACGTGTTCAAGATTGTTTGACTTGTTCATTAAGTCTGTGTTCATAAATATGTTCATCGGTCTACATTCATAAACTTATACAAATTTATGTATTATGAATGTGTTTATAAGCTTTATACTAGTTTATTTTTATGAACATATACGACTCTATTTTCACAAGCCTACACAAAATTGAGTCTAATATTTAAGATCAATTTGTTTACTAAACGAGCCATGAAATGAAACTGAAGCTTAACTCGTTTGCTTAACGAATAAATTTGAATTAAACTTTAAATAAACTGAACCGAACTATTAATAAACAATTCGTTTTATTTAAAAAAGTATCGTACACTGAACTAAACTGCCCTTTCAAAATACCGCAACCACCAGAATCTCGTGTCTTAGCTATCCGCCTTATAATTCACATACATTTGAATTGAAACTTGAAAAGTTTGGACATTCAAGGTTTTTTTTGGGCTTGCAAATTAATAAATAAGTTGCCCTGTCATAATCAATTATATAGAGTAATAAACAAAGCCATGTCCAAAAGGCGACTGAGCGTATGAATTGGAATGGACTGTAAAAAGCAGCACTCACAATGATGGACCCTAGCCAGTGCTGGATTGTCTCCCAAAAAAGGGTATAATTAAACAGCAAAGATAGAAATATAGAAGAAACACGATCCAACATTTTCTCACATTTACAATGTTTCCAATCATCCTCTCACCATCAGACACCTGTCCACCATCTCCTTCAAATTACCAAAAACACCCCAAACCAGACGCCGCTTATTGATATGACTCAACAATAACAACAAGAAGAAGAACATTCGTTACCGAGTCAACTCTCTCTCCTCTCCGCCTTCTTTGACCGAGTCAGCGATTCCACCCAGTCGCGACGACGGTTCTTTTCTGCTTAGTCACACAAAACTAAGAACAAAGCAGAAAGAGAGAACCAAAATTCGAGAAAGGATCAGAGAGATTTCTCTCTCTTCTTTGTCTATCTACATCACTTGGCCCTATTTTTCCACTCAATTCTTCTTTAATCTATTCTTCTTGATGTTCTAGGGTTTTGAGAGAGGGTTTAGAGGGGTTTGTGTTGCGAAAATGATGATATCGAGGGGATTGTTCGGCTGGTCTCCGCCGCATATACAGCCACTGACGCCGGTGTCAGAGGTGTCGGAACCGCCGGAGTCTCCGTCGCCGTACCTTGAGCCGAGTAGCGACGCGGTACCGGTGGAAGTGGAGGAGGAGATGGAGGAGGCGGAGGAGATCGAGCCGCCGCCCGCGACGGTGCCGTTCTCGAGGCTGTTCGCCTACGCCGATCAGTTGGATTGGGTGTTGATGGTCGTCGGATCGCTGGCCGCGGCGGCTCACGGGTGTTCGCTCGTCGTTTACTTGCATTACTTTGCGAAGATTATACACTTGTTACACCATCAGGAGGACGAACCCGATTTACTGTTTCACAGGTTCAAAGAGGTAGTTTCAGAGACCTTAATTTCAAAATTTTCTTTGTCTAGTAAACTTTTTTTTTTTTTTTTTTTAAGTAAATGATCTCTTTTTGATCAAGTAGTGAACGTTGCGATCAGTTGGGGTATGTATATAGTACACTGCACTTATTGAGTACTGTTCTATTAACTTTGTGAGCCAGATATGTTTTTTTTTTTAATAATTTAGAAGCATTTTATTTAGTTAGTAGGAGAATGAAGCTGCCACCTGAGGATGAGTCTTGTGATCAGAATCCCTGGGGTTTTTTGGGTGTAATGTGGATAATTTGAGAGTATAAATGTTTTATTGCTTTAGACTACTGGCGCCTTAATGAAGAAAGTGTGTATTTCTTATATAAGCTACCTAACAATATTCATGATATTACTAAATTTTCTTTTGATATTTGGTTAGAATGGGAAAGATGAGAAGCAAGCTTATCATATATGTCGATTACTCGAAGGTGAAAGTGTACATAGTTGGGTGATAGTTTACGTTGCCGTTGAAAATTGTGGTTGAATTTTCAAGAGAATCCATGTAGGATAACAAATAAATCTTGAAATGCTATTGCTATGTTTTCCAAAATAAAAGGGTGCCTAGTTTGATTTCTTTAGGGTTTGTTAGAATATGAGCATCTTTGCCTTTGTGGTTTGTTGAGTGTGACGTAGTAAGGAGGTGGATTATTATTTTTTTGCTTCATGCCTACACCACATGTGAACTCTGGAATTCATTGGTTGCTGAGAGCTTCGATGAAAGTAGGATTGGCTATGCTTGGGTGGTGTTAGGTGGATATGGAAGCTATTCCTTGTTTCACTTTAATTTAAATGGAGGGTTGCTAGTGGCAATGGGTGGTAAATGAAAGGCTGAAGAGCTAGGTGAATTATATCCAGTTTGACATAGAAAAAATATGCCCAGGAAAAGCATTTTGTTAGACTAAAAATTTAAAGGCGGGTCTTTGAAATTAGGACGTTTGTGAAGATTAAAAAATCAAAGAAGTTTTTGTTTTCTTGAAAGATTCAGTGTACTTGGTGGCAGATGCTAAGGGTCCTTTTGATTCAGTTTTCTGAAAACAATTATCAATAAGTTAGAAAATAGAAATCAGTTTTCAAAAAGCTTTAACAGTCTTTATTATATATATTTTTTGATAAGTTTTTTTTATTATATATATGTATATATATAATTGAGTTTTCAGATAATCTTCAATGCATTACTGTGAAAAAAGACTTGGGCCTGGAGCCTCATGAAGCTTTAGGTCTCAAGTTCGATTTCTCCTAGTTGCGTGCAATTCCTTGGGGCTACGACCGCGGACATAGTCCGAGCCTTACCCGATCTATGTGGGGGTCGCCTTGCACGGCTCCCGTGGATTAGTCGGGGCAAAGTCCTGGACACCCCGATTATTGAAAAGGGTTTATGTATTTATAACAAAATAAACAGTAAGATCTTTTTAACTGAGAAATTCCTTAATTAGTGGCAAAAAAAGTATATTTGTATTCATATATAACAGAAAGGATATACTTAACATTGTATTAGTTTCCGAATTTATACTATAAATATAGAAGAGAGTGACTGAGTAGCAATTACTAGGATATAAAACAACAATGTTGGAAAGTCAATTTTGGTTTATGTCAAAAAAAATTGAGTAACATATGCTATTTACTTTCTGGGAACATGAATGAAAGTTAAGTTTTAGTTTGATAAAACTTAAAATTAAGTACTGAAAATTTTAAGAGCCGAAATTTGTAAGTGCCGAAGTTTTTAAGTGGTAATTAAAAATAAAGATTTTTTGATATCTTTTTGAATTTTAAGCATTCTGTGTCACTTAAAATTTTACTCCATTTTAGGTGGTGCTTACCTTTTTAAATGATATTCAAATTGCGTAATTAAACACACTTAATTGGATAAACATAACTTGTAGGATAAACAAGTGAATATTTAATCTTAGTTACTTACGCGAGGGATAAGTATTAAGCTTGTATATTTATGCATTGGTTATCGATGCATTGCTTAGATACATTTAGGATCAGTGTGACATCTGTGCTTTTTGCTGATAATATTGTTTTAACTGATGAGCTGAAATAGAAAAGTGCTAAACTAGAGGTTTGTTTTATAATTAAGAAAGTTTAAGGTAAGTAAGACTAAACTGGATATATGAAATGTAACTTTAGCTAAATTAAGAATACAAATGGAGATTTCATAAAGATCGAGGATAAACAATGTTCCAAAACTCGGTCAACTCTGCCCAAATTAGTTGAGTCTGGGTCAGGTTTAGTTTGGCTAGGAAAAAATAACTAATGTCTTGGCCTGACTCAGCCAAGACGGCTTTCACTTTTGGTGTGGGTGTGAAATTCCCATTTTTAGGTTTCCCATATTATTTTTTCCAAAGCTTAAGACCTAATTCACCTAAATAGAGAGAGAACCAAACTTCCACCAAACCACAAGTTAGGATACAGAAAATTCGAGATTTTTCAGGAAATTTATGTTCAAAGTCTTCCAAACTCGATATTAATTTATATGTGTTGAAATTTTTACTAAACTTCTAATATATGTGTGTAATATAAACATATTTCGTATTATGCATATATCAATATATATTGTATCACATAAAAAATAAATATAAAGTGACTTAAAAAAGTTGTAACGGAGTTAAAACTTTCCTATTGTTTCAATTTGATCATTTTTTTCAAGTCTTGAAAAAATTTCACGACCGTGATAGCTGATACTAGTTACTTAACACTAGTTATAGCCTGAGAACGCAAGCACAACCCATTTTGAAGCTTGAAATAAAGAAGTTTCTAAAAGCAAGCAATTCTATTATCAAGGCTTGATTATGCATAGGGAGGGAGATACCGAGGTTGATGTTACTCATATAATTACTATATGATGTGTTAAGTGGTGCAGTACTTTTGGTGATTGAATGGTAAATTCTATTTGACGACCAACTATGCCTATGCCAATGGACATTAGCCCGGATGGTACGATCTCTCCTCCCCTGGGGAGGTTGAGTGTTTGAGCCCTGCCAGGGGTAATATTATGGGTGTGTGCGTGTTTGTTTGAACTTTCGAGAGGAAAAAAAAAACTATTCTTATGAAACGAAATATTGCACGATGACGAAATAACATGTTAACAAGATGAGATTGGTTAAGTGTAGATGTTGAGACGGAGGTCTGAAGAATAATTGTAAATGAATATCTTTGTAAGAAATTAGAAATGAAAAGGGAGAAACCAGGGCAAGATGATTTGATCATATGTAGCAAACTCCAACAATTGCACAAGTGAGGAAAAGTGAAGAAATGGTAGAAGTTGAGCTAATCGTTAAGGAAATGGAAGGATTGGAGGACTAAATTTACATGGATGGCGATCACAGGGAAAGATATAAATTCTCTGGTTTCATTGAATTTTTAGCTCTAAATGGAGTGGAATACGAAATAGGATTGACGTAACCTATCTAAAATAGTTGGGATTATGATTTTTGACTTAATTTTTGTTGAGTTTCCTGTCAATGAATTGAATGGTAACATGTTTACTGGATATTTTTACTTTTTGAATAAGTTGACAATGGGATATGAAGTGTACAGCTCACAGAGATTTAGGGCTCAGGCGTCATAGGTGTTTCTTGATTGGTTGGTCAACTTACTGATTAGGTGGGTGTATGCATTGCATGAACTCAGTTGCAAGTGTTGAATATTGGTGTGTGTCTTGGTGTCAAATTTCTCTAATTCCTAAATATTTGGGGCCGTGGATTTGGTTGAATTGTCGAAAACCAATTTTTAGTCGGCTTTGATTTAGGATGAAATGACTTTAGTTGAGGAATCAAAATAAATTTTTTTTGGGTTTAATTTCCAAGAAGAAAAACCTAATTGATGAAGTTGAATTTTGATGGTTGAATGTTGGAGTTTCCTAAAAGAAAGTTGTTAGTCTCGTGCAAGAATAAAATCAATGGTAGACTCAAATCAATATCATTAGGGTTCTATTGGGATTGAGGGATTTCAAATGAATAGATTTATGTTCAGTTATTTAAGGAGTTTAACTTAAATTTATATTTTAATAAGATGCATAGATTGATTTGAGAGCCTTACATTTGTGAATTCAAATAATAAGGTGAATGGAGGTATTTGAAATCCAGGGTGGTAAGGTTTTTAGTTGCACAATTGATAAATATAGTTTCATTGGAAGGCAGTAGGCACACAAAAGGGGAGCACATCCCAATTATAGCTGCACAAAAGCCCCAAAAAACCACTATACCCTCAAGCTATCCAAAAAAAATTCAAATGAAATGGTAGACACGAGAGACTCAAAATCTCGTGCTAAAGAGCATGGAGGTTTGAGTCCTCTTCAAGGTTCGGGTCGAATCGATATTGGCAAGTGATTTTCAAAATAATAGGATTTATATATATATATATATATATCTTTTTATTTTATCTTTATTCATGAAAACTATCTAGAAAAATAATATCTCCGCAGATTTACTATTCTGATCATGAACCCAATAAAATAAAGAACTAAGTGTAGAGAATTTAAGCCCCCAAATAGGGGTCTCCTCATCAAAAGATCTCCTATTCCTCTCTCTTCATAGGCCCCATCACAAGCAAAGGGAAGCAGGCCTTCAAGCATCTCAGGCTTGCTTCCCCACTGTACATCCTCTCCAAACTTTGAGCATGCTCTTTGTGGAATACGGCAATGACCCAACATACACCAAACAAGGCACAAAACAAGTGGTAAGTTGAGCAGGTATGTCACCAAAATTGTGATTCCGAAGTCCTTGATCTGAAATAGCATACTGGAAGGAAGGCCTTTCTGGTTAGCAGGACTTTCTTACGACTTTAATGTTTGTTCTATGAGTTGAGAAATTTGTACGGTAATAGGAAACAGTGAAATAATTAGTCATCTCTGAAGAAGCTTCCTTCATGGAACAATCACAGGTTTTAGGTCCCAAGATTTTCTTATCAATTTTTATTTTGGACCAATTCCAGATCCAAATGTTTCTAGAATACTGGATGCGCTGCGCCACTGCTAGGGTTTCTCTAAATCTTGGGCATAAGGTTTATTTGTTTTTTTTCATAAATGCTACAGAATATTGAATTTGTTATTTTAATTTTCTTACCCTTTACAAACTAGATTTTAATAATTATTGGTGGGAAGCATTTTAACTGCCTTTTTCTTCATTCTCTTTTGACTGTAAAGTAAAGATTCTCGTCTCGATACCCTACAATCAAGTACCACCCATTTTCATCCCACCTCTTTATTTTTACACAGACAATAAAGTAGAAGAAGGGAAAGCTTAATTTTGACATTAGATTTCCTTGAATTTGACTTATCAAAATTTTTTTTCCTTGAATTTGATCATATGAAAAAGATAGAATGTGCAAAGGATACTATGCTGCTACATTGTGTGTGGGGGTGTGTTTTAATTTTAATTTTTATTTTTAAAACTTTTCATTCATGAAAGTTTCAAGATGAAGTTGATTGTCTCTTTCTTTTTGAGTATGTTGGTAATTAACTATATTTTGTTATTTTTGCAGCTTTCTTTGTCCATTGTGTATATTGCTGTTGGCGTTTTTGCATTTGGTTGGATTGGTAAGCTGAATGTTTGTTCAATAACTATATTTCCATTTGTCGTGCTCTCTCATGGATGATGTTCCTTTGCAGCCAGCATTACTAACTCATTTTATGTAATAGAGGTCTCCTGTTGGATTATTACCGGAGAACGACAGACTGCTGTGATCAGGTCAAAATATGTTCAAGTATTACTTAATCAGGACATGAGCTTTTTTGATACCTATGGGAATAATGGAGATATCGTGAGCCAAGTATTAAGTGATGTGCTACTCATCCAGTCTGCACTCAGTGAAAAAGTATGTTGAAATCTAAAATGTTGCCTTAAAAATGGGATATATGTTTCTTTGCAAAAGTTGTCTGTTTTCTAAATTGGTTTCTCTCCATGAAAATGTCTTGTTTAACGATGGGCCTTTGACATGACAGGTTGGAAATTATATTCATAACATGGCTACCTTCTTCGGTGGCCTTATCATTGGATTTGTCAATTGTTGGCAGATTGCCTTGATAACTTTAGCCACTGGTCCATTCATTGTTGCTGCAGGAGGAATATCAAATATATTTCTTCATAGGCTCGCTGAAAATATTCAAGATGCATATGCTGAAGCAGCAAGCATTGCTGAACAGGTTTCTTTCACCTTCTCTCTTATTTACTCTTTGTACCCTTTGATTATGCTAACTGTTATGGGCTACTGGTTTTGGTTTACACTTTTGGTGATTTACCTGGGATTTCTCAAAGGGTCGTATGCAAAATATTGCTCTCTGTACAAATTTAGTGTTAAAAGTTCAGAGTGCTCAATGGCTGCTTTAAATGCAACATTCAGAGCACTGCTTTAAAAATTCAGTCCGTTTGCAGCTTTTTATGTGCTTGAATTAAATAGTTTTTTTTATGAGAATGAATGTTTGTTTAAGAAGCATATCGTTCTTGTGTCCATCGGTCCATCCATATGCTTGTTTAAGTGGAGGAGTGCTTTTGACATATGTGAACCTTAAAAACGGAAAGATAAATTGAAACCACTTATTACATCAGCCATAAAGACAAAATGAGTGAGGTTGAAATATTGATATATAGATGGATTTGTGGTAAGACAAGAAAGGATCGAGTTGGGAATGAATATACTCGTGAAATTGTTGAAATTATACTCGTTGGAGATATACTTAATAAAAAAATATTCATCGGAGGTAAAATGAGAAAATTAACTAAGATGATTGGGCCATATGTAACGAAGAGCAATAATTGCACTAGTGAGAGAGTGATGTGACATCGAACTCAAAAGTATAGACACAGGCATAAGATATGGACACACACAACATGGATATATGATGGAAAAGTTTTAAATTATAGATTTGCCAAAAATGTGTAAGACGTGTAGGTGTCTATGGATACGAACATAAGATACGGACACGACACAACATGGATATGATGGGATTTTTTTTAATTATAAATAGTGTAAAGTGTGTAAGACAAGTGTCTGAGAATGTTGGTGCCTGACACATGCAGCAGGAACACAGCTCTTCTTTATTAGTGTTCGTGCTTCTTAACTGTCTGATAATAGGGTTGCTCAGAGTTGGGTGTTGGAGTTGATCAGTCAGAGGGATGGCGTTTTCTTTTTCTTCAGACGTGGGTTCTGAGTATATTGCTGGGATTTGAGATCTAATGGAGTGCAAACCACTAGGTTAGGTATGCTTAGGAAGTTTCAGATCTGATTCGGATGCCAAAACCTTTCTTTAAACACGAATCTCTCCGCTGATTCCTTTTTTTTTAGCCTTTCATTCTGTAAGCAAGGAATTTCACATTTTGTTTTCCTGCTCTCTTACCTTTGGCTGTTTTTCTGTCTCGCTTACTTGCTTATCAGTTATCACTTGAAGATAGCAGGAACGCATAGTTTATTTTCCAAAAGTGACTTCTTTAGTTTGGAAATTCATTAAATATTTACATAAACTAGTACATGTTGAGTGGGGGAATGGAAGGCCAGAAGAGGTTTTTTGGCAATAGGGGATCGTTTCTCCCCCAACCCTACATGGTGTTGCTCATTCTTGATTGAGAAAATTGATTTACCTAGCGGTCTAGGGTCAATTGCAATGAATGTTACAAGATCAATCCAATTTCTTTGAGTGTATTCACCAACATCTTATTTCTAAAGGGTTATCTTGTCCCGGACGAGTTTGTGGAAGTTAAAAGTTAGTATTTATTTATTTATTGATAGAACGGTCTGCCATGGAATATGCGATGACAAAACCAGATGGTCACCACCATTACTTCACTGAAACTCCACCATTGATTCAGTTAGTCCGACACAATTCAAATGGTTTCGGGAGTTATTAAAAGTTAACTTGTGAAATATCCTATGAGACCATTATAAAGTACTAATTATGCCACTGAATTTTGTTGAGTCCTAGAGTACCTCCATGTCCGAGTCCCCCAAGTTTCCTTATTTCTCATTGTATTCATATCACTTATGGAATTCACACATGGTAACTTGGATATATTTGGGTGTTTGTATGTTTTATTTGTGGTATTATGTAGTTCTAGAAGAGCACATGTGTATGCAGTCATTGAGAAGAAACGTTGAATTTAACATCTGTGGGTGCATATTTATGGTGGGTTTCTCTGGAAATGTCAATACAAGTGTCAAACATGGTAAACATAGTTTTCATGTTGATAGGTATATGGCTTCCTTGTCATTATTAGGTAGTTTCTTAATAATGATTCTATGATGAAATGCGTTTCTTTTTAATTGCAGGCAGTCTCTTTTATTAGAACCTTATATGCATTTACAAATGAAACATTGGCCAAGTATTCTTATGCTACTTCTTTACAAGCGACACTGAGATATGGTATATTGATAAGTCTTGTACAAGGACTCGGACTTGGATTTACTTATGGGCTTGCAATTTGTTCTTGTGCTTTGCAACTTTGGGTTGGAAGGTTTCTGATTACTCATAAAAAAGCTCATGGAGGTGAAATCGTTACAGCCCTATTTGCTGTCATATTAAGTGGCCTGTAAGCAACTCTTTCTCGCTTCCTTGTCATGCATATGATTTTTACTATGTTACTTATCTATGATTTCTTCTGTCACTCATAGTGGGTTGAATCAAGCGGCAACAAACTTCTATTCATTTGAGCAAGGAAGAATTGCTGCTTATAGACTTTTTGAGATGATAAGCCGTTCATCCTCTGCTGTTAGTCATGATGGAACCACCCTAGTTTCTGTACAAGGAAACATCGAGTTTCGAAATGTATATTTTAGCTATCTATCTCGTCCTGAAATTCCTATCTTGAGTGGGTTTTACCTCACTGTACCTGCTAAAAAGGCTGTGGCACTTGTTGGCAGAAATGGATCTGGTAAAAGCAGTATTATACCACTCATGGAACGGTTTTATGATCCTACATTAGGTATTATGAGCACATTAATTTCCCTTCACAGTGGTTACACATGTTTTCTGATTTAAGTTTTTACTTAAACCCATGGAGATCCTGCTCTATCAGATTCCGACTATTTTTCTGTTTTCTGGTGCAGGAGAAGTCCTTTTGGATGGAGAAAATATCAAGAACCTAAAACTGGAATGGCTAAGAAGCCAAATTGGTTTAGTCACACAGGAGCCTGCCTTGTTAAGTTTGAGTGTTAGAGACAATATTGCTTATGGGCGGTCAGACTGCACTTTGGACCAGATCGAAGAAGCTGCTAAAATCGCACATGCACATACATTTATCAGCTCATTTGAGAAAGGATATGAGACACAGGTAAATTCTGAAAGAGAAAATATCTACCTAAATCTTTGTTGCCTACTGTCTTCCGTTTTTGTCATTTTATTTTGCCATTGGCAATTTCCCTTATAGTTCTTTCACATGCAGGTGGGTAGGGCTGGTTTAGCATTGACAGAAGAACAGAAAATAAAACTATCCGTGGCAAGGGCTGTGCTTTCTAATCCCTCAATTCTTCTTCTTGATGAGGTTACTGGTGGACTTGATTTTGAGGCTGAAAGAGCTGTTCAAGAGGCTTTAGATCTCCTGATGTTAGGACGATCAACCATAATTATTGCTCGAAGGCTTAGTCTTATAAGAAATGCTGATTACATTGCAGTGATGGAGGAGGGCCAACTAGTTGAAATGGGTACACATGATGAACTAATAACCACAGATGGCTTATATGCAGAGCTTCTTAGATGTGAAGAAGCGGCAAAACTTCCAAGGAGGTAATATAAAGAGCAAACTTATGCTTTTGTTGAGCATGGTAAATTATCTTGTATGGTTTCCAAGTGTTATTAAGGTTTTGCATTCTAGATGTTTCGTTAAGATATTTATTCTCATTACATTTGAAAGCATGTAATTGGTGCCTGAGGAAAATAAATTCAAACTTTAAACTTATTTTCCTTCAATTCTAATTTCAAGGTGCCAAATCCAGGTTCCCACACAACATTATTGTTTTTTACTAGTAATTGGAATTTGTTTTTTTGATAATTAGCAATAATTAAAAATTATTACTTGGGTACTTCTTTTATGTGTTTTATATCTTTATTCAGGATGCCAATAAGGAACTACAAGGAAACTACAGCTTTCCAGATTGAAGAAGATTCATCAGCAAGCCACAGCTTCCAAGAACCGTCGTCCCCTAAAATGGTCAAATCACCATCTCTTCAGAGAGTTTCTGGCCTTCATGTATTTCGGCCTCAAGATGCTACCTTCAACTCACAAGAATCACCGAGAATGCAGAGCCCACCACCAGAGCAAATGGTGGAAAATGGTGTACCCTTGGATGTGACAGATAAGGAACCATCAATAAAAAGGCAAGATAGTTTTGAGATGAGGCTACCGGAATTACCAAAAATTGATGTTCAGTCTGTGCACAGACAAACATCCAATGCTTCAGATCCTGAATCCCCCATCTCACCACTCTTGACATCTGATCCCAAAAATGAACGTTCTCATTCACAAACTTTTAGTAGACCATACAGCCAGTCTGATGACATGCCAATGACAATGAAGGAAGCAAAGGGTAGAAAACATATGGAAGCACCATCATTTTGGAGGCTTGTAGAACTTAGCTTTGCAGAGTGGCTTTATGCTGTTTTAGGAAGCACTGGTGCCGCCATCTTTGGGTCTTTTAATCCAATTCTTGCTTATGTTATTGCACTGATAGTTACAGAATATTACCTTCATGAAGGTCCTCGCCTAAGGGACGAAGTAGACAAATGGTGCCTGATCATTGCTTGCATGGGTATTGTGACAGTGGTTGCTAATTTCCTGCAGCACTTCTATTTCGGTATAATGGGGGAGAAAATGACTGAACGAGTAAGGAGAATGATGTTTTCAGGTTTGTTACTCCTTCCCGAGTACAATTTTTTCCCTTAGTTTAACATATTCATTTTACGTACACCTATCTATTGTGATTGAATAAGCTGTCGTTATTTTAATTTGATGCGTTCTGTGTACCTAATTCTACTTAGGTGTGAGTGCATAAGCTTCTTTTAGTGTGGTTAATATCTGATTCCTTAACTGTAACAGCAATGTTGCGCAATGAAGTTGGATGGTTTGATGAAGAGGACAACAGTGCAGACACCTTATCAATGCGTTTAGCAAATGATGCTACTTTTGTGAGAGCTGCTTTTAGCAACCGGCTTTCTATATTTATACAAGATAGTGCAGCTGTTCTTGTGGCTGTTCTTATTGGGATGTTGCTGCAGTGGCGATTAGCACTAGTGGCTTTGGCAACCCTACCCATTCTTACTGTTTCTGCTGTTGCACAGGTTTGTAGCTTTTCTATATAATTTCAATACAGAGTCAATGCAAATATGCATCTGGAGTGAGTGCTTCCCAGATGCCTTTTCAGTTTACTAATGAACCTAAAAAATCTGTTGATAACTATTTATTACATCTGGTTTATAATGCTTATTCTCCATTGTACTAATGGGGACTCAGAGCTTTTAGAGTTCCCAATTATGAATTTTAGAGTCCCTTGAAATATACTATCTCAATGATTGAGAAACGTCCTACCCGTTCCCAATTCTTTGCTTCCCATACATTATCATGACCTATTTTCCGCATCTAAGAATTTGCGAACTTATCAATGCAATTATTTTCTTCTCCTAAAGCGGAATAATCCGATTTTTTCATAGAAGTTCTTTTGTTTATTTTATTTTAGTTGTTCAACAAAAGAGAAATAGGACTTTTTCTCTGAGATCTAGTGCATAGTTTTATAAAATTAGACAACCTGAAATTCATCATTTTACTGGGCTTCTCTGCTATATGTGTGTCAGGTACAATTATGTGTTTGTTTGATGCATTGAATTTCCAAACCCAAGGGCATGAGTACATGATTAAATATTCACATACTATTTAATAATTTTTTTTTATTGTTTCGCACTTCACTTGTTTTGAAGCAATATTGTAAAGGAAATAATTATATAATAACTTTGAATTGTTGGATACACTTGCTAGTGCTGCATGTCTAACTAGATGTACGAGTGTCGTATGGGACACGGTTACTTAACACATTTTTGAAGCGTCCCCGCAACATAAAACTTATACCAAAATTAAAATGTATGTAGTTGAGATTTTTATGGAAGGATTTTGTCTTTTTGGTGAAGCCATATTAAAGTAATAATAATAAAAAAACTACTGAATAGTAATGAGCCTTGCGAAATGATATATAGGAATTTCTTGCTTCAGCTTATCCTTAAGAGGCATTATTTCACAAATAGTAACCTGTTTAGTATATAGATGTGCTAGAATAAATCACATTCTTATTTGTCCAGTTGTCCTCTAAGTTTTACTATCGATATGTGCTACAGTTTAATCCATCTACTGCAGCTTTATTTTCCTGAACGATCACTAACTCTATGTGAACCTTTAGTCAGCTATTTAGTTATCTTTTTTTTTTCTTTCCTAGTTGGTACTCACACACACATGCCTCCATGGAGGCTCGAACCCCTGACCTCACTTTGAGAAGTAGGAGCTTGGTACCGCTAGGCCACTGGCCTGTTGGTATTTAGTTATTTAGTTATCTTTTTCTCTTGGGATGCGTTCCCCTTTTGAACACTTTCTAATACATTTTATTGATTTTAAAAAAAGCTATTTAGTTATCTTGGATGTTTCGTTTTTTCTCATCATTTACTAATTCCTGTTTTTAAGGAATTTCTGCCAGTCAAATACTTTTGTTTGTGTGTGTGTAAGAATTCCCAAGTGATGAAGCCTTATTTCTATGTATTGCTTCCATATTTTCATTCTGAAAAAGAAGTACTATAATTTATATGATCCTATTCCCCAGATTCCTGAGTAGCTACCAATTTAAATTCTGCAGAAATTGTGGCTTGCTGGATTCTCAAAGGGCATACAGGAGATGCACAGAAAGGCATCTTTGGTCCTTGAGGATGCAGTCAGAAATATTTACACTGTTGTGGCATTTTGTGCTGGTAACAAGGTTATGGAGCTCTACAGATTGCAACTACTGAAAATATTCAAGCAGAGCTTCTTTCATGGAATGGCTATTGGTTTTGGCTTTGGCTTTTCACAGTTTCTTCTTTTTGCCTGTAATGCCCTTCTTCTCTGGTGCACTGCGCTCTCTGTTAAAAATAACTACATGACTCCACCAACGGCTCTCAAAGAATACATGGTGTTTTCGTTTGCAACATTTGCACTTGTGGAACCTTTTGGCTTGGCTCCATATATACTCAAACGGCGAAAATCTCTTACTTCAGTGTTTGAAATTATAGATAGAGTGCCTAAGATTGAGCCAGATGACAACTCGGCATTGAAACCCCCTAATGTTTATGGAAGTATCGAGTTAAAAAATATTGATTTTTCTTACCCTACTCGTCCAGAAGTGTTGGTATTGAGCAATTTCAGTCTTAAAGTCAATGGTGGACAAACTGTAGCTGTGGTGGGGGTTTCAGGGTCTGGAAAGAGCACTATAATATCTTTGATAGAGAGATTTTATGAGCCGGTTGCTGGTCAGGTTTTACTGGATGGTCGTGATTTGAAACTTTATAACTTGAGATGGTTGAGGAACCACATGGGTCTTGTTCAGCAGGAACCAATTATTTTCTCGACAACCATACGGGAAAATATTATATATGCAAGACATAATGCAAGTGAAGCAGAGATGAAAGAGGCAGCAAGAATTGCAAATGCACATCATTTCATCAGCAGCTTGCCTCATGGTTATGACACACATGTGGGGATGAGGGGTGTGGATCTAACCCCAGGACAGAAACAAAGAATTGCTATTGCTCGGGTCGTGCTTAAGAATGCGCCCATTTTGTTATTGGATGAAGCAAGCTCATCCATTGAGTCTGAGTCAAGCCGAGTGGTGCAGGATTCTCTTGATACATTGGTCATGGGAAACAAAACAACCATTCTGATAGCTCATAGAGCTGCTATGATGAAGCATGTTGACAACATTGTTGTACTTAATGGAGGGCGAATCGTTGAGGAAGGGACCCATGATTCATTAGTAGCCAAGAATGGCTTGTATGTTCGTTTGATGCAACCTCACTTTGGGAAGCGTCATCAACACAGACTTGTTTAGACGGGGCTTGTGATTGATTGTATTTTATGTTTGGTCCACTGGAAATCTGCCATAACTTGGCGGAAATGTTGGTGGCTGCCGGTTCTAGAATATCAGTTGGTAGGAGTTAACACGTGAGACAGATAAGAACGATGACACTTTGTGACGATGTTTATATGGCTGGGTGAGTGTTGACGGCGGCAGCAGCTTTCACTGACAGGTGGTGGCTTTGGCAATGACATTGTGCAAAATGTAGGTCTGAGACAATAGGGTTTTTCATAGTTCAGTTAGCCTATCTCTCTGGGTTAGATGCATATTCTTTTGGAGGCAAGCATCAATAGATTAAGATTGTGCATTGCCTCTATGGTATATTGATTTGTTATGATTATAGTGTGGAATGGAATTAACTGTAGTCTTCCCGAGGTGGTTTTTTTTTTTAATTTTTTATTTGGCTGTGTGGCGAATGAGAGCTTCTGTAACTCCCTCTCTGGTCCGTTGTTGCTAATTTTCTTGCTGTATATTTTTCTTACGTTTGTAAAAGCAGTGTAAGGTTTGAAAGAGGAGAAAGTTGAGGCATTTATTCAGACTTGTTTCGGTATATATATAGATAGATAATTTGTCAGTTCACTGCATCACCCATTGGCAACCTAAGTTGCGTTAGGCTCACACTAATTTTTCGAGTTGAAACCTTTTTCAATCCCAAACAAATAATGTTCTCACTTCTCTTGAACAGGAAAAATTTAGAGAATCCAAATAATGCATTTCCAATGAATTTTTTTTTTTTTTTTTAAATGTAGTGTTTGCTTATGAATAGTGATGTCAATTTAACCCATTTCGTTTCGTCCCGTCCAGTCCCCCTACTGGCACAGGTTTGGGATCATCATAATCGTAATCGGTGGGGTGGGTTTGGAAAGTAATCGGGTTAGCGGTGGGGTGGGTTTGGAAAGAGAGTGGATTTGAAACACGCAAAGCCCCGAACCCCTCCTTATTAATAATCAATAGTATATAAATAAAAATTATTTTATTAACAGTAATTTGTTTTTTCCTCTATTTTTTATGATTGCTTTAAATTTTAACTAACATTTTTGTTATTGTGATTATTAAATATTTTACTAAACTACAAAAAATTAACAAAATTTATTTTAGTTCGAATGGTTTTTCTTAAAAAAATATACATATCGGGCTCCAAACTTGTCTTGATTCAATGCGAGACGCCCCGAATTGGGTTTGGGAAAAGATTTGCATTGGTGGTGGGAGGGTTTCCCATACATCCCTACTTACGGAAGTGTGAGATGGTACTCTTCCAATGAGGGAAAGCCCAGCATGGTAAAGCCCATTATGGTGTTTCATGACCGTTCCTTGGATTTTTCATTAGCTGAAGCTACTACTAGCATACAATGCATGCCTTCTTAGCATTACAGCTTCATAATTCACAAATCAATGAGTGGTTTCAGATCCATCAACCAATATGGTGTCTAGTGTTTTAGATGGATAAGCTGTGGTTATATACAAAATTCAGTGACTGTTTGTTTCCCGAGAAAAAGAGAGATCACAACTTTGACGTGAGAGATTCTGCAACTTATGCAGCAGCAATATTAGCATATCAGATGTCAAGCACCTTGAAGGAGTCTGCCACCACTTTGAGCTTGTTGCGGACTCTTCTCCACCGCCTTTCGTTTGCACCCACGATTAGCGTGTAGTATCTCCCTACCCAAATTCCAAAATTCCAAATTTCAACTGTGAGTTGGTAGGGAGTAAATTAAGAAAGAGTAATGCCACAATGCTTGATCGGTTTTGTGGACTCAAATAGATAATATTCAATAAGGACTCTTAGTCAGTTATAAATAAAATAAAGTCTCTCTTCTCTTAAGTGATATCTCAATAATTGTCACGTATAACAAAAATTGATCGGAAATGTTTCAAACATCTCCAAGTTAGGTGGTACTTTCATAGTTTTTTTGGTTGCAAACATTATAATTAACTACAACTTTTAGTGAGTAATTTCCTATGTGTGTGTACATTTGCTAGCACGAGCATGTATCAATATGTTACATTGAAAACACACATCAATGAGAAATAATAACACCAGAAGCATATGACAACACACGGTTGTAGCCTAAATACATGAAAGTAATAGTTTGGGATGTTATGAAATCATACCATTTCCAATTGCTATGGTAGCAAATGCTGCTCGCGCAAAGTTCGGAGATGTCAGCACATACTCAAAGGTGTAGTAGTTTTTCCCATCAATGGTTTTCTGCAGACAGTAGAATTCCATAAGATAAACTTGTTTTATATTGCTCAAAGTTGTCACAATACTCGGACATGGATACGAAATATAAATTTAAGTGAAAATTTTAATAAAATTAATATTTAACAGTGTCCATGTGTCATTCTGTTTGGAGATTTGACATGTCCAACACATGAACATATATATACCCATACCTAACACAGACGTTCTTGAGTAACACAAGTGAGAAGATACTAACCTCCTGCATATCAAATACAGTTGCTCTCTGAGTTGGTGCAGAGTAAATATGTCTCACCAAATTCAAAACAACCTTCAAAGCAATGAAACTGGTCACAGATCATAAAATTAAAAAAAATAAAAAAAATCAGAACCGAGAAGAACGGAAAAGAAGAAGAAGAAACAATTACAGTATTCACCTCTTCCATTGGACCTAAATCATGTATGTCCTTCTTATCAGTTGGGAGGAAGCTCAGTCTAACATTTTGTAACTGCAAATATCGGTCCTTAAATGCCGAATCGTGACCTCTGAAATCAAATTCCTAAACAAGACACATTGTAAATTCTCTCTAGTTGAGCCAAGGTTCTTATGCAAGTTAAATTGAGGCTTCTGTTTTAAGGGCAACTTACCCTCCAATCTGAGGGGTAATAGTATGAGTAGCCATCTGATGAGTCAACAAAAGCTGCATAGTTCTTCGGCATTTCTACATCATAAAGAATATGCAAAGGGTATACACAGTTCAGAAGATAAATTAGGCATGAACAATTTGGGAGTCTATTGAATGATTATTTATTAATGGAAGTGCCATTCTTCATGAACTCGGTTTTATGTAATTATAGATGATCGGAGAATTGTATCTTCAAGAATGCCCCATCTCAAATGTCCATCTTGAATGACATTAATTAAAAGGGTTGCTCTATTTTTACACGAAATTAATTGATTTCTATTTTATAGGCGAAGTAATTGATATATAACATTGCTCCAAAAGTCACACATTATGCATAAATTTAACTACAAACCATGATACCTTCAGCAAAAATGGAATTTGCCGGGAATAAACTCAAAGCTAATGCCCCTACTCCGAACAGTAATGGCCTTCTATTGCAACTTCCTGAGAATTGTCATATGTTATCACAACAATTATCAAAAACTTAATTAGGTTATAAGAAATTACATTGTAGATTCAATCTTAAGCTTAACCAACATTATTGTTCCAATTTACTACTACATTTTAACATAGTAATAATTAAAAAAAAAAAAAAAAAAAATTAAAATAATCAGTCCAAATACAATGGCACAAAGTTAATAATAGTTTCCCCATATGTATTATTATTGAAAGTTAACCATGAAGATGACAATCATCAAGCCAAAAACTAAAACCTAACAACACACCCCTGTTTGGTTAAGATTTATAAAACAGTTTTCAAGAACTCATAAAACAAAAAACCTTTCAGAAAAAATAAAAGTGAAAAAGGTTGAGTTTTCAGAAAATGTCAACCAAATAAAATTTTGTACTAACCGAAAAATCAGAAAATTGAACCAAACAAGCCATATATGTCTACAATTAAATTCCACAGAAATCTACATCATTTTTTCACCATAAAACCCACTCTTAGGTCAAAATCGATTTGGGTATCTCTCAAATACAAAATGGCAGTACCCAGTTGAGCTATACACACACACACACACATATATATATATACACGCGCGCGCGCGCGCACACACACACATATGGAAGTTGTTAAGACGAGCATCTTACTTTCTTCATTGAAGGTTTTGTCTCTTGAGCAAGTGACAATATTATGTGAAGAAAATGCACTAGGCCGAGGTACATTTATCTGAAAATTTATGAATGACTGAATACATTACAGCTCATGATTAATTGACAGCAATAAATACATATGATATATATATATATATATATATATGTGTAATGAAGAAAATATTGTATAGTTGGACTGACCCCATTAGATAGAGTTGTTGAGGCCAAGCTGAGTGAGAGTGATGAAATTGCCATCTCTGCCTCTGAGAATCAGCTCTACCTCTTTGTTAAATAGATATGGATTAGTCTTGTTCTCACTTTCGGACTGGTTTGAGAGCTTTTGGTCATGTGGGTGTCTCGTTTTTCTTCTTTTTTTTCCTCCCATTATTTCTTGTAGTGTGGATAAGAGAGACAATTTTATGATTAGTGGGAGAACTTGCACACGTGGGAGGCACGTGAAAGAAATGGATAATGGGCTTTTAGTTCAGCCCACTAAATTCTGTCCTTTTAGGAATGGAAATTTTATGACCTCCTTGAAGATCCACCCCGCTTGGGCCTAATTCAATCCAAGCAGTTGGACTTCTTTGAAATTTTGGTATATTAGTATACAAATGTTTATGTTCCTTGGGAATTGATGTGGATCTAAAACTAAATTTTGAACCAAGTGATTATATAGATGTGTGCATATTTATTACTACAACGTTGTTATTGAATAACTGCCATAGTGTTTATTGGGTTGGACCCTTTGGTTCATTTTTCGATAAAAGTTCAAAAAATCTAAGCAAAACCGAAGTCCAAAATTTAACACTACTATTTTGAGACCGCAACTTCAAACTAGATAATACTGTGTTTTTTTTTTTTTATATAAGTAAGTTCAAATATTGATATTGTATTATCAAAATTTTAACTATTAGTTTGAGAATGTAACTTCAAAGTAACGAGTGAAAAAAAAAAAACTTCAAAATAACGATACTGTATATATATATATTTTTATATAAGTAAGTGCATATATTGATATTGTATTATCAAAATAATAGCACTGCATTTACACTTTACAGGACTTCGAATCTTCTGCCCTAAATAAATCATGATAAAAGCAGAACTCGTTGTGTTTGATAAAGGACCATCACGTGGTACAGACTACATAACCCACCTATGCCATTACAGGAAATAAAAGTAATCACTTTGTAGTTTGTACTCCACAAATTTGTCGATTAATCTGTTGACCAATCAAAGACCCCTAATCCGTTGGTAAAATAATTATAAAATTTATTAGAGGAATGATATTAAGGTTGAAGAATTCTAATGAAATAAGAAGTCAGAATACTCGAATTTGATTACACTCAATTTAATACAGATGTATATTATACCTTATATATATATATATATATATTTAATTTTTATCATTCGCAAAAACTCACATACTACTTTTACACTCATTTTACTTTTTAAGAAATTCCAACTCTCACAGTCTATTTAAAAGATAGAGAAGATATCACTAGATACAAAGTCCTTAATAAATGTATTATATTCCTTATTTCGTTCAAATTCTTGAATTTTAAAATAATTATCTAATTAATTAATGGTTAATCACTAGACATCAACTTTTGTTAGTTATCACATTTCCCCACGTAGTAAAGAAAAGTAGTTACTTTGTAGTTTGTACTCCTCAAATTTGTCAATTAATCTGTTGACCGATCAATACCCCTAATCCTTTGGTTCAATAATTTTAAAATTAGTTAGAGTAGTGATATTAAAATCAAAGAATTCTAATGGAATAGGAAGTCGGATTTGGATACACTCAATTAAATACAGAATATATAGTTTTATTTTAAGATAAAAAATATTAAAAATTAAATTAATAAATACTGAGAATTAAAATCTGACACTTTAAAAAATATTATAAATTAAATTAATAAATGTTGAGAGTTAAAATCTCACACTTTAAAATTTATTTTAGGAACAAACCCGCTGAGTTATCAAGCAGGGTACATTAGGCTCCTCATTTCGTTTAAAATTTTTAATTTTAAAATAATTATCTAATTAATTTATGGTTAATCACTATGCTCCAACTTTTGTCAGTTATCACATTTCCCCAAGTAGTAAATTTAATTAAAATATAATGTCATGAGTCAGTTCTTGTTCAAAGAATCACAGACCATATGATGGAAGGTGCAGCTTCACCAACATCAATCATTACCATCCACAACTCCAAAACTATCCCCTTTACCTTTCTGAGTGAGAACTCACCCTGCTCATATACCCATCTCTCTGAAAATGGATTGCATTACTAGGTATGCATTTTCTTATTAAATCTACACTTGAATTATATTGCTATGAGGAATTTCATGGTTTTTGAGAATGAATTGATGATTATTTCAAAATGGGTTGTTCTTTTCTACAATGTATATGTTACTTTTGCTTAATTTTGTATCATATGTGATTGAAGAAATGGGTGATACAAATGGGTTGTGTTTTCTCTGCCTTCTATATGTTTGTTTAAATTCAGTTGTTTGTACTTCTGCTATTCCTGTAGACAGTTCATTAATTTATTGTGGGGAAGGTGAAGCTATGAAACTAGATGATGGTAGGGTTTTTGAACCTGATTCTGGGAATTCTATTGCTAGTTTATCCGCTAATTCCTACATTGTGGTTTCAAATACTGAATTGGGTGTGTCAAAACTTTACACTTCTGCCCGGGTTTTTACTAGAACTTCAACATATACAATTAGCACTAAGCAAATTGGTCGCCATTGGCTACGATTACACTTTTACCCAGTTGAGAATAGTCAATACAACTTGGAATCTGCAGTTTTTTCTGTTGTGGCCAATGGAATTACTCTGCTTCATGGGTTCTCCTTTTCGAAAATGGGCAAAAAATACCCTCTCATCAAGGAATATGTAATTGAAGTGGGTGGTTTGAGTTCGAAAAAGTTGGTACTCACATTGTCTCCTTGGGATGGTTCAATTGCATTCATCAATGGAATAGAGATTGCATTTGTGCCCAATGGACAGTTCCCTTCTAGTGCAGTTCCGATACCACTGGGGGCAGCAGTTGATATCCCAACCCATGTAGCTTTTGATACGGCTTATAGAATTAACATGGGTGGTCCACTTCTGACTCCGAAGAATGACATATTGTGGAGGATATGGGAATCAGATAAACCTTTTCTTGTGAATGCTGCTACTGCTCGAAATGTTTCCACTGACTTGAGTTTAGTCAAGTACCCTGCTGGGGTGTCTGTTGAAATTGCCCCAAATTTGGTTTATGCTACTGCCCAAGAAATGGCAGATGCAAATGTCTCTGATCAGAAGTTTAACATTTCATGGGCGTTTGAAGTTGATGAAGGCTTTTCTTACCTTATTAGGATGCATTTCTGTGACATTGTTAGTGTGGCTCTTAATAGTTTAGTTTTCAATATCTACATTAATAACCAATTGGCAATTGAGTCTTTTGATATCTCAAGCAAGACAATGGCACTATCAGCAGCTTACTTCATAGACTTTGTTGTCAATGTTTCGATGGGTTCACATCAGATTTTAGTTCAAGTTGGTCCTCCTGATCTAAGGGATCTCCCAACAAATGCAATTCTGAACGGTTTGGAGATAATGAAAATGAGCAATCCTTGTGATAGCCTTGATGGGAATTTTAGTGCATACAACATTGTTTCCAAGGCCCCAAAGAATGACAAGCATGTGATGCTACTGCTGTTTTCTCTTTTAGGAGGTTTTGCAGCTTTGGTACTTTGCTCAGCAGTTTTTATTCTCTGTTTTTGCCGTCAGAAGAGGCCAAAGCGTCAACCTTCATCCTGGTTCCCGCTACCTACCCACGTGGGGAATTCAGATACCAGAGCTTCAGCTGGCAGTTTCACTTCAATTACACCTTCTCTTGGGGGCCGCATTCTAGCTTTCTCAGAAATTTGTGAAGCGACAAAGAACTTTGATGAGAGTTTGGTCTTGGGTGTGGGTGGATTTGGAAAAGTTTATAGAGGAGTACTAGAAAATGGGGTTGTGGTTGCTATAAAGCGTGCAAACCCAAGATCCCAACAAGGACTGGTTGAATTCAGGACAGAAATTGAGATGCTAACTAAGCTTCGCCACAGACACCTGGTTTCTCTTATAGGCTACTGTGAAGAACTTAATGAAATGATCCTCGTTTATGAGTTCATGGCTGGTGGTCCCCTTAGGAAAAACTTATATGGATCAGATCTTCTCCCTCTCACTTGGAAACAAAGGCTTGAAATTTGCACCGGAGCTGCAAAAGGATTGCACTATCTTCATACTGGAGCAGAAGAGAGTATCATCCATCGCGATGTTAAGACAACCAACATACTGCTTGATGAAAATCTCACAGCAAAAGTGGCAGATTTTGGATTATCTAAGCTAGGGCCAACTCTAGATCAAACCCATGTAAGTACTGTAGTGAAGGGAAGTTTCGGGTACCTTGATCCTGAGTACTTTCGTCGACAGCAACTCACAGAGAAATCTGATGTATATTCCTTTGGGGTAGTACTAATGGAGGTTTTGTGTGCTCGGCCTGCTATTAACCCTGCTCTCCCTAGAGAGCAAGTTAACATAGCTGAATGGGCTATGAATTGGCAAAAGAAGGGCCAACTAGAGCAGATAATAGATCCCCATCTTGCAGGATCTGTTACCCTTGATTCTCTAAGAATATTTGGCGAAACAGCTGAGAAGTGTTTGGCTGAATATGGGACTGAGAGGCCATCAATGGGAGATGTTTTGTGGAATTTGGAGTATGCTCTTCAGCTGCAAGAGGCTTCTATGCAAAGTATTGCAGATGGGAATAGCGCCAACCATATTCCAGAAATCCCTGATTTGATCCCCTACATTGAGCCTGCTAATGGGAATGGTGTTGACACTGTTAGCGATCAGGAATCTGATGTAACAGCAACAATGACGACGACAACGACTGGGGTGTTCTCACAGCTGATAAATCCAAAGGGAAGATAGCTCCAACGTGGTAAGCTTGTCCATAGCTCTAACAACGTAGGCCTTGTTTATCCATCTTGCGAAGAATGTTTAGCAATTGCTTCCCAAAAAAAAAGATTTTTAGATCACTTTCATATATGCTAAAACTTTCTCTTATTGCATCATGATAAACTTGCCACATTAATGATTTGAGTCTTCTAAAGCCTCCTTCAATTTCCTTTTTTGCTGATTAGTATGCAAGTTACTTTAAATGTGAGCACACACAAATAAGGTTGTAAAATTCTGTTAATTTCACTAGATCATCCAAATCCAATGGTCCTTGCTCCTTAATCCTGTAATTTCCTAAAACATACGAACAAACTAAAAGCTTTTCATATCATCGGAATCTTGATCAATATCTAGTCAGGACATAATCAATATCGAAGTTTGTATTAGTAACAGCAAATATCAGCAACTGAGTATGCTCACGAGCTAAACATATAAATGCAGATTTTGCAGTGAGTGCTTTTGCTCTTCCCCGGTGAATTAGTTGTTTAGAGTAGTGGTTTTGTCTAATTCATTATGGGTGCTCTTGGTGTATTAGATTCAAAGGCTTTGTGTGGAAGACACTCTAATAATTGTCCTAATGTTTGTAAGCAGAAGTATACAAAGGAAATATGACTAAGTAATTTCCAGTAACCTTTAGGGTGATTTTGATCTGATATACATGTTTAGTGCTTATGCGTGATGTTTCCAAATTTTGCCATTTTTCATTTTTTCGGGAATTTTGTTGTAGCAAGGGCATTTTCGTCTTTTGTCAATTTTTTTTTTTTTGTACCGGACACTATGGAGTATGCCGGTTGTGTTTAAGAGTTGTTTGGGACATTTCATTGAGTCGAGGATTTTTTGAAATGTAAGGATGGTCATTTTCGCATTTTTTTCGTTTTTCTGGTCGGACAGTCCGGTGTGGGACCCGTTACCGGAATTGTTATGTACGGGGATTTTGTTGAGTCCATTAGCATTTCATGCATTTCATTTAATGTAATTTATGTGGTTGTGTATATGAATGTGTGTGTGTGTGTGTGTGTGTGTGTGTGTGTGTGGGGAGGGGGGGGGGGTTGTTGGGTCTATTAGCATTTCATGCATTTCATTTAATGTAATTTATGTGGTTGTGTATATGAGAGTGTGTGTGTGTGTGTGTGTGTGTGTGTGTGTTGGGGGGGGGGGGGATAAAATGATAAGTAAAATAAAAGAAAAAGGAAATGGGACCCACCAATATCAAACTTAAGGCTAAGAGACCATTATAGGTCTCACAATTCTCTCTCCCCGTTGGTATCTCTCTCTCACCTCTCAAATTCTTTTTTTCTATTTCTTTTTCTTTTGCTTCAAAGCTTAAACCTTGATTTCTTCTTCAATATGTGGTATTTTTAAGTGCCGTTTGCGGCAAATTGAAGTTCACGACGAGATCTACAAATTGCTCGGAGCAATTTCTAATTTGAAGCACTCTAGGGAATTCGTGATCTAAGGCACAAATTGGGACTTTTGGCTTAGACTGAGGTAGGGGTCTCTAATCCACATATTCTTGGTCTTTTGTGAGTTAATTTCAAAAAAAATTTGTGTTTTAGCATGCTTAAATTGTGAAATTTCATGCAAATTTATTTACTTGCTATGTGAAAAGGTGTGACTATGCTTTATATGATATATGATAATGAAAGCATGCTTAATTGATGAATTTTCATGCCCATGGTCTTAAATTGTTATGTTTATGTGATGATAAAACATGAATTAAAAAATAATAATAAATAAATAAATTTCTTACGAAGCATGTTAATTGTTGATTAATTTAAGCCATTTGTGCCTTTAGTGCTAGTTTGGTGATTAGAAAATATAAAATATAATTTTAGAAATTTTTATGTTGTAAAGTACGTATATTATTGAATAATAACTTGATGAACATGAATTTTTCTATTTGTACAACATTGAGATATATGAGACATTCATGCATAACATTGGGCATGAAAAGGGAAAAATTGTTTTGAAAGGAAAAAAGGGATTTTGGCACAAAGTTTTGATTAAAGGGATTTTTATGAAAACTCGGTCGCCGCGGAGGTACCAAAGGGCCGTGGTGTTAATATAACCTAGAGGGAATTATGGAGATCGCCTTAGCGTGGTTGAGTTATCTGGGCCCCAAATGATGCCGCGGAGGTACCAACGGTCAGGGACAGTGGCCAATCCTTCTCTCGTGTCACGGCGGAGTCACAAACGGACGGGTTATATTAACAATTTGAAAAGTGATGGATTTGGATTTTGAAAATGGGGAGCGACATTCATGGCATCACATATCATGGCACGACATTGTTATTTTGGAATTGGAATTAATGTTGTATTCCTTCTCGGCATAGTATGACCTCGCTTCCTATTTTTATTTATTGTTTGGATTCACGGGGTCACAAGAGGTGTGTCTTAGGCACCAACTACTGAGCTTTATGCTCATCCTATTATTTTAATATTTTTCAGGATATGGGAAAGAAGTGGCGGATGACATTCCATCACATGCCTAATTTGGATTAGAAGATCATTTTGCTATTTTTGTATCCAAGTCTCACTATTTTTTTGTAAAACTTAGTATATTGTATTCTGTACGGAGACTTATGGACTCTTGTTATTGTAATTATATTCATGGACTGTAAGTAGATGAAATTGGAGTAAAATTCTAGTATGTGAGCATGGGATTATGTACAAGACAAGTACTCCTTTATTCTGGACGAATGGGTTGATGGTGATGAGCTATTTTGAGGAGGTTGTTGATGTTGTTGTTTTGGGAATGTTTTATATTATTTGCATTGTGTGCTGGTATAGGTTAGATAAATTTTGAATGTCCAAGAGTGGCCATTGCATTTTTTTTTTTTTATGCATTTAAGCAAGTTGGCGTAGGACCATTTTTAGTAGAGGTAATGCCGAATTTTTTATTTTTTATTTAAATTGGTTTCAGTTTAGGGTCGTAACATTATATGAAGGAGAAAAAATGTTCAAATCTCAAAGTATAATGTTCTTGATTGACTTATTGCTAAATCGGGAATTTTAAAAAATAGGCTGTGTTTGGTGCTGTAGTAAGTAGTTATCAAGAAATCAGGAAGAATTCCTACTATGATGTTTTTATCAACTCCTACTGGGCTCTTGTGCTTTGCCCTTTTTAATCGGGATAAAGACATAGTTTTATGTGGTTTGAATGTGATGTAGAACTGATTGCCGAACCCTTTATGCCCGTTTGGACCGCCGAGGGGCAAACTGACATGCTGACAGATTTTTTGAGCTAATCCCGAAGTGTCCGTTTTTGACCCCACATGAGAGTTTTTTGATTGGAAACGGCCCAATGAGCAAGACACCACCGACACAATGCCTTTTTCAAAGAAGTGTGACATAGGCCCTCATTCTATATTATGCACCAAATTGCATGCAATCCTTCACTGTCTCAACATAGCAAGTCACTGTTAGGACCTAGTTCTTGAAATTTTATATACTATTTATACAATATTAATCACTTCTGTTCGTCTCGGAAAAGATTTTTCATTATTTTTAGGCAAATTATATATATTTTTATTTTTTCTATATTTGACAAAGGTCGAGCGTGTAAAATAAATTGCCGAAAATTGATGAGTAAGTTATTTCCTTTAGGTTTTAATATATTTTTTCTTCTTAAATATTTTACAATAACCAAACACTATAAAAAAAAAAAGAATATATATTTTACATCCAAACAAACAAAACCTTTATCTGGAGCATATTGTCCCATAATTTCAGAAAATGCTAATGTGAAGTATTAAAGTCCATTAGTCAACTGAGGCTTAGACATGGGTAATCTAGAATGCCCAAGACTAGAAATGCCTCTGTTGTGGGGTTGGGCTCTGTTTTGTGATTGGGTTATTGTATGCTGTGTTGATGGGCCTCATTCTACTTTAACTTTCAAAAAAAAAAAAAGAAAAAAAAAAGTCCATTATTCAAGTCAAATGGCTCTCACAATTTATTTGGAGGGTCATTCTTAAAAAAATGGCAGTCCAGGCAACAGGCTCGTGCCATGTTACTTCTGAAAAGTGTGTAGGCCAAGATATTTTCAATTTCAAACTCAGGACTTTTAAGTTATAAGTGAGCAACTTTATCATTGTAATCATCATTTCCTTCAAGAATCCGTTTAACCTTATCAATGTCAAGTTTCAAAGCAAAAAAAACCATGAAACCTCTCAACCTGCAGAAACCTCCATCTCTGAAAAACCTAATTGCAAATCATCTCAAACCACCATTTGTTTCACTGATTCATCGCAATACCACCCCACCAATCCTCCCTAAATCCTCTTACAAACCAAAATATGCTCCAAAATCAAACAACAGACAAGTGCTATGTAACCAAAATACCCAACCAGCACAACAGACAACTCCTAAAATTATCCTAAAGAAAGCATCATCTGCAATCTCCTCTCACACATAGATTTCCTCATTATCTGGACAGCCACACATACATTTTCCTTCTCCCACCATAAAACCAATAAAGCCAATCAGCAACCCACTGCAAAAACAGAAGTAAATCCAAGCCATCGCAGCAAGCTTCTTTTACAGGTAACCTTCCTAGAAATTTCAACCCTCTGCTTTACTTATCTCCAGCTCACCAAATTGATAGATTACAGGAACAACTTGAGTGGAAGGATGAGAACTTGGGGAAAGTTATGGAAATGTACAACAACCAGAAGAAGATCAATGCAAAGCTACAAGCTAAACTTGACAAGGTTAAGCTACAGGTTAGCCACCTACAATAGCCACTAACAACCACCACCTCCTCCTCCAACGGCACAGAAGGCACTAACATGGTGGGACTAGGTTTGAATCCAAATTCAAATTTGAATCTAGCTAGTAATGCTGTAGTCACATCATCTTTGCAGGCCAAAGCCAAAAAAAGTATGGCTGCAGTCAAACATAGAAATACCATTGACCAAGGTTTACAACTTACCTCAAACCTCCAACCTACTGATCACCTCTTACAACCTACCACATACATCCAAGCCACCCCAACCACTACATTACCACAAACATCCAAGCAACCAATGGACAATACAGGTACTGTAACAGCTCAACCACCATATGTTTTACCAACAGACAAATCAGTTACTTTACCCTCACATGCAATACCTATGGATAACACAGGTACTGTATCAGCTCAACCACTCCCTATTACCCACACATACAGACAATCTGAAAACCAATTAAACCACAACCACTATCCCCAGGCAAAGTCTTGGTCAAATGTAGTGCAATAAGGTACCAACAAGATGAAGTTTGAATACATTGCTCCGACCACTGAAACCTCAAATGTGATTGAACCACCTAAAGAAGTGGTTGATGAAGGACTAAAATTCTGGAGCTCGTATCACTTGGTTGGGTTCTCAATTCATAAGAAACTTCCTTACAAGGTGGTGCAGACTGCTGCAACAAAATTGTGGAAATCATTCGGCTTAACCAATACCATCCAAGGGGAGAACAACACTTTCATCTTCAGATTCAAGAGCTCTATAGAGGTTAACACTGTTCTGTCTCATGGTCCATGGTCATTAGCTGACACCCTTTTTCATTATTGAAATAGAACCAACTAAACCAATCACATCCATCTCACTTAGGCAGTCTACCAATTTAGACCAAGTTCTACAATATACCACCTAACTATTGGACTGCTAAGGGTTTAAGTCACATTGCAAGTGCTGTTGGAGAGCCACTTTATGTTAATGAAACCACTGAAGCAATAACAAAGCTGAAGTTCGCCAGAATCTGCATCAACTTAAATCTTAACAAGCCTCTCAAACATGAAATCCAACTCAAAATGGATGACTCGTCCTTTGTGGATATCAGGATTGAGTATCAATGGTTACCAAAGAACTGTGGAAAATGTAGGCAACTCAATCATTCAGATGCCAATTGCCCTCTCAACTACATTAACCCCACTCACAGAAAAGGGACAATAACTTCACCATGCACAAAGGACCACAGCCCTGCAATCCAACCAGCTTCTGAATGGGTAACAGTAAGGAAGAAAAGAAAACAAAGGCATAACCATTATTACTAAACCCAACACTCCAATCATAAATAACCACTCAACCTCAAACCAATTCTCCCCATTACAATACCAAGCACAAGACACCAACAACACAAATACAACAAATAACCTCAACTCATCATCACCATTACCATCACCATCAAATCAATCTCTCTCCTCAAACAATACAAAGGTCAGCAATTTCATCTCAGATTCACAGTCATATAATTCTCCCCCTCTATCACCACATTCCCCTCTATGTAGTAGGAAACTTAATTTCTCCCCATCAACAACCATAACTCCCTCCTCCTACAAGCATACCACATCCAAAATACCAGTCCCACACTACTCATCTCCAACTACAGTCCCACAAAAGAAGAAGAACATGAACTCCAAGTTTTTTGAGCCTATAGTTGAGGGATGCAATAAGACTTTTGCAGCAACAGTTTCTCCAACTCATGCCAAGTGGACCACATCCCCTTACTTTCAACCACTATCTTCACTCAGTGATCTTGGTTGCAGCATCCAGCCAGTTCATAAAAGGAACATGACAGCAAGAAGCTTGAAGAAAATTGCAAGGACGAAAGAGAATGCCAAACCTGGGTTGATGCCAGAGGGTTACTCAGTTGACTCAAAGCATCTTGGAGGTCATTTTTCTCCATCTTTCTCATGATTTCTCTCCTCACATGAAATATTAGAGGGTTGAACCAACCCTTTAAACAATTAAAGATTAAGAAATTAATCTTTGAGAGAAAACTTGATATTGTTTCCATAGTGGAGACTAAGGTAGCTAAGCTGAATGTGGCAGCTATCCACAGACTTATTGCCCCTAATTGGTCTATTACAGACAACTATTCTTTCTCTGAATTAGGAAGAATATGGATTATGTGGAACTCAAACAATGTTAATCTCTCAGTTCTTAGCTGCAATAGACAAGCAATCCATTGCTCCATCTCAGTTATTGGTCAACATACCTCATTTTTTACTACTTTCATCTGTGCTGCTAATTGTGCCAATGAAAGACAAATCCTGTGGGATGATATAATCCACCATTCAGTCATCTTTGTAGATTCTCCATGGCTGTTAATGGGGGATTTCAATGCCATTCCCAATATAGGAGAGAAATATGGTGGTTCAAGGAAATGGTCATCAGCTATGACAGATTTCAAGGAGTGTCTTCAATCTGCAGAATTGGAGGACCTAAAATTCTGTGGTATTCTCCAACAAAAGTATGGGAGAAGCTTGCATTGCAAAGAAACTCAACAGGGCTTTGGTAAACCAAAGGTGGACATCCTCATTTCCAATCTCAGAATGCAATTTCCTCACCCCAGGCATCTCTGATCATAGCCCTATCTTGGTTACAATTGACCTCAACTCACCAAAGAGGCATATACCCTTCAGGTTCTTTAATGCATGGACCACTCACCATGATTTCCACTCTTCAGTTGTTTAGGCTTGGAACACTTACATCAAAGGAACTGCAATGTTCCAAGTTGTTCAAAAACTCAAGTTACTTAAACCTATCCTAAGAACTTCGTGTGCTAGAGAATCTACAGACTTAGAGTTAAAAATGCATGCTGTGCAACTGGAACTCCAAGCTTGCCAAATGGACCTAGATGCAGCACCTGGTGACACTATTCTCAGAGGAATTGAAAGGGCTTTAACAGCAGATTTCTTGAGATTGGGGAGACTACAAGAGGATACTCTAAGGCAAAAGTCAAGAATGTCATGGCTGAAGCTTGGGGACTGTAATTCATCTTATTTGCACAGGTCAATCACATCCAGAAATAGCAGGAAGAAGATAATTTCCCTTATTTTGGATGATCACAGAACAACTCATGATGTGGAGGAAATTAAATTTCAAGTTGTCAACCACTTTTAAGCCTTGCTTGGTTACTCTCCCCCTACTACCCACCAAATCACTGCTTTATCACCTTTTATTACTCAGGAAGTCCTATCCAATTTGCACTCTTATCTTTAAGACATGCCAACCATTTTGGAAATACAGACTTGCATGATGAAGCTAAATAAGGACAGAGCTCCTGGTCCAAATGGCTATAATGCCTTGTTTTTCCAAAAAGCTTGGGACATTGTGGGGAGA